TTAGAACCATAATTTAAGTTTACCCTTTCTCTATTTTGACTCTATTTTACTTTCAACTTTAATCCAAAATGCAATATTTTTCTGAAAGGAGAGGTTCATGACAAATCACTTCTTATCTGGAAGTCTTAAAAGTGATACAAATACATGATACCAAACCATAACTGGATTTAGTTAAAATTCATTCGGTCACTTTTAACCATTTGTGATTTTTGCCTAAGAACTTTTCTATTCAGAAGCGAATGTAGATGAAGAAATAAAAATACATCTGAAATATACTTATCAATTTTTCATAGTTTTACACCAACAGAAGGGATAATTTACAAATAAAAATGTACAGTGATAGCAGGAACAATAAAATCCTTGAGTAACAATTTTTACCTCAAGAAATAAAAGCAAATTTATTTTTTAACCTTGGAGGATTACAGGAAGATAAAATTTTATTAATCTAATGCTATCTTTATATTAATGTTTAATGAAGAAAACAATTGGGAATGAGACGGAAAATGTGTATTAAATAAATTTTCCCCCTAGGTTCAGTAGTCCTGAACATATTAATATAAAAATAAAACAACAAATCTTTGGAAATTATTTTTATTACTCTACTTGGGCTACTTTGTAGTCCATAAACAGCAACAAAACTTGAATGTCATCATCGTGTGCTACTTGGTTTTATTCTCTCTGATATTTTGAGAAAGTCATTCATCCTTCCTGAGTCTCAGTTTACCTGTAAAATGAAAACAGTTGCCATTAACTTACAAGGTTTATGGAATGCAAATTTAAGATATTTATATGTAAATATAAGACCTTGTTGATGATTGCTAAATCCTCCTCACATAGCAAAAGACCAGAGTTAGTGAATGATGTAATAGGTTTTGTACACCCAGGTGTTTGTTACTGGTAGGGAAGCATGGAATGGGAATTCGGGGTGTCAGATGCTACTATCATTTTTGCCACTAATTACATGCATTGGCTTCAGTTGTTTTATAGACCTAAAATTGAAGCTGTCACTAAGGATGTCTGTCTGAGAGAGAATAAACTTTGATTTGATTCACCCATGTAGGTATCCAAATAGATTTGCAGAATGACTAAATCTAATGATGGAGGGGATTTGAACAAACCATTATGTAAAGGCACTGGCTCTAGGTGGTTGCAGTGTGAGAATATGACTCCATTGTACAATAGCTTTGTGACTAATTACTACATCTGCAAGTGGCAGAATGAAAGGAGCACAGTCCTTTGGGTATAGAAGCCATGGAGTCATATCTTTCTCATGTTCCCAGTTACAGCCTTAGTTTTCATCAAAAACTTCTTTTTTTCCTGTTTTTACAATTTCTAAATGTCCATAAGTGTAATAAATACAATTTAGAAATGTCCCATTACTTTGGGTCTCTTCCATGCGAGTATAGGATGAATTTTACTATTTGAGCAATTATCACTTGTCTACATCTTTGAGTCTTCCCAAAAGTCTGTAGAGACATCTTTGAGTCTTCCCAAAAGTCTGTAGAAACACACACACAAACATGTTTACACACACACACACACACACACACATACTCACAAGTACAAAAGGTCCTTGCTATACATAGTAAGAGAAAAAAGGAAACCATAAATTTTTCCTAGCAAGGTTTCAGATTTTGAGTTTCTTTTACCTGAACATTTTCTGTTTTAATCTGCCTTAAAATTTCAAGTCAAAAGGTCCAAAACTCTTATGAACATTTCAATAAGTACTTGAATTTTCCAGATCACTATTAGTAGTCTTCAGTCAACTTTGGAAAAATCGTTACTTTTCAAATAGAAATATTGTATTCTAATTATTTCATCTATATAATATTAATTAATGTATTATATATGTATACATTACACATTATTATATATAATATGTATGCATAATGTTCCTAAAACAATAAAATTTGACTCTTGGATCTTTTCAGTAAAAGCACAAATTATTCAAAATGTAACTGGATGCACCAGTTTCCTTTATATGTTGAAATCAAATTTCCTGAGTAATTCTAAGAGTAAACAAAAGAACAATTCTTCACATAGAATGTGTATATAGAAATCTATTAACTACAGATTTCAGACTTAGAGATTCTACTTAGATTTAATGTCTAAGTTTCTGCCAGGCAATAGAGTAGTTCTGATAATAGCATTGGTATCTCACAATATAAAAATCAAGCAAATTTATAACATTATTCCAGCTTCCTTTCCAACTTCGCCAGTGATTCCTCCTCCCCTAATTAATATTTTAGTATTTTAGATGCTAGGAGAATGTTAACTATATCCATATATCAAACATTTTCATGCTGCTGCTCTCATTACATGGGATAACTCCTTTACATTTTTTTGTTTGTTTGTTTGTTTTAAACCTTTTGGTATAATGAATAAGCATGTTTGTTACCTAGATTTTACATAACATTTACAGATGAGGGAATTTCTAGGCCCAAACAGGAACAGTAAGAGGAAAAGTATTACTGCTGGGAGGTATATATATCCCCCATACATTTTAAGCCTAAGGAACGCAATTTAACAGCAGAAAACACCACACACATATCACTTTCTAGACTAGATAACTGGAGCTAGAGAAAGAGCAGAAAACTTGAAGTTCATGCAGTTACCACCTGGTCTCCTCATCTTGATAATGTACAACCAAGAGAAAATTGTGTTTCTTTTAAATAAGTTAGAGTTAACCTCCCTGATCCTAAAAGTGAACAACTATTATTGGTAACAGACCAAGGGCATTTGCTACAGAATGCTATCCTGGACAAATATGAACTGTTAGTACAGCGAAGAAGAAATTATAGAGATATTCTTTAAATATCAGAAACTTCCGTATCATGGAGTAAAGCTGTAGATGACTCCAATTCCCAAAGCTTTAGCCTCCAAATTTCCTGTTAGCATTTGTACCCACCAATGCTCCCCATACTTCTAGTATCATTTGCTGAGTTATGAGATGCATCCATCCTTCCAGGATATAAGAAACCTTTATTTTATACTCCCCATTAGATCTCAAGTTCACCAGTTATTTCCTTTGACAGGTAGGTCTTTTGATGAATTTGCAGGTTATCTTTTTTGGTGGTGATTTTGTACATAAGATTGCTTTTTGTGCTACAGCCTTTACCAGGGAGAAACCCAGCTTCTTGCAAGGAATCGTCATTCAGAGACCAAAAACTGGTGCAGACCCTGTAGGAGGAGAAGCACTTGGTGCCTTCTATCTTTTACCACCTTGTTGAGTCTATTTTGCTCCAGCTAGTTGGCTTGTCATAAGGTCATCTCTTCCTCTGAGGCCTTTGAAGTTGCTTGATTCATTAAATTGGATATCTGAATTTCCTTCTGCTGCTCAACATGCTTTTTCTTTCTTCTAATTGTATCCCATAACTTTCAGTCTTTGGGTTTGTACCAGGTGACTTTTCTCAGTGAGAACGCTACTTCTGCCTGCACATCTATCCTATGCTTTCTCATTGGCATCTTGTTCAATAAAAGTCATCATATGCTTAATCTGTTCTTGCATATCAACATCACAAGTGATACTGAAAGAGAAGGTAGGCTAGAGGGCAAATGGATCACATTTACAAGGGGTAATGAAAAAGCCTTGACTTTTTTTTTTTCTCAAATGTATGGAAAACTTCTATCCATTTTCTTGGGATAGCTCTAATGTTACCCACATTTTGATTACAAAATCTTCAATATATGCTAACTTATTCATGTCTTACGTGTACATACTATTAAATCATTATGCACACTATTGATGATATATATTGTTAACTTGTATTTGAGCTTACTGAATATTTGAAAATATCACTGTGCCATTACATATGTCTCTTTGAAAAACAAGTCTTCATTCAAGTTTTACAGTAACACAAAGATCTGTTTCTAAGTTGAATTTATTTCTAAATGTGTTTTATATAGCCCTTGGGACTGAAGGAGAACCTTTCAACATCATATTGATCCAAATAGGGAAAAATACATTATTGATTATGGTTACAGTATAATCATAATATTTCTTTACCTTCTACCAATAAAGCAAAGGTGTTCATTGAAATTTAACCGCTAAATCATCAGTTTCTTGTTGGCATGAAATGTTCTTAGAAACTCATGAAGTGATTTGTAATACTGTATGTTTACCAAAACCCAATGTAATAATTCATATAGAAGTTTTTCAAAGGTTTTGTTTCCAAATGCATTAAGTATAAAATAAGAGAACTTTTATATATGTGATACATTTATAAAATCCTCAGAAAATATCAGAAAAACATTTCTAATCTTTTATTTTTAAAATTGTCTTTCTTTGGCATGAGCACCTTTGAAAATTATAGTTGTTTTCTAAGTCATTGATGAAATAATGTCCTTATCTTGAAAGTAAGTTCAACTTACTTAATTAGTTAAATATCTGTGAGGGAGCTTACTATGACAGACATTGTTTTTCCTTCTAATGTGTCTGAAGAAGAGCTCAGAGAAATGTGTTAGCTCTGTCATTTTCTTGTTTCCTTATGTTTACATTAACAATCCATGTTTGTGTTTTTTAACTCTGTGAATCCATTGCTGATTGCAGTTGTCTTAGTTTAATGGGTAGTGTAGTTAATAACTAAGCCAGGAAAACTTGAAGTTCATGCAAACCGAAATCCACTGGCAGGTAAGAAAAGACCTGTGTATTATATTATGTAACAGATATAACTCTTACAGATAGCATTTGGTCATTAGGACAATGATACTTATCCATTATGATTAAAATTTATTTCCCAATTATTTCAAAATAAAATTGTTTAAGTCTCTAGAGAAAGCCAATTATTTTTCAACTCTGATTTCCTAGAACTCTATATAATACTTTGTATTAGCATACACATTGACAGAGTATATAGCTTTGGGGTGTCAGGTGATTAATTTTTCATCCCTAAATAGAGAGCATAGAACTTGTATATGCTAGTAAATAAATTAATGAACCTGCCTCGCTCAAATATAAATGCTAAGTATATTTAATGAATTTGTTATGTCTGATTTTGCAGGTACTGGCCCGATTTGGCTGAGTGAAGTATTTTGTTTTGGGAGAGAATCATCTATTGAAGAGTGCAAAATTAGACAGTGGGGTGCAAGAGACTGTACACATTCTGAAGATGCTGGGGTCATATGTGCTTTATAACGTATCGTATTTTCACTCACATTTGTACAATCATTGTTACAAATTTGATTTTAAAGTCAGTTTCATGAATATTTAAATGATTAAGATCATTGTGCAAAGAAATAGAATCAAAATTAAAATCACTGAGTAAGTAGGCTTCATACTTGGCAAGTCTATATCTGAACTATTTGAACTACTAGAGACTTTTATATGAAATTTTCAAATATAGTGGCATATATTGAATATACTGCAGTTTAAAGTTTCTAGGTTACAAATGACAATAACAATTGAAACATGGAATGATCATTAGTTCCAATTCATATCTTTACTACAAGTTTATGTATGTTACCTTTTTTGTCTTTTTAGTTGATTTGAATTACTTTCTGAATAATAAGGGGTTGGGAAGATTTCTTTTGTACCAAATTTACAAAATCTCCACTTTCTACATGTTTTTAGATTATAAAAATATTGTCAGCTAGTAAGATCTCTGAATGTGCAACCACTTGGCTGCCAAATAGCAATGTTAATATGTTTTAGCTAGGGAGCTTACTTTACATGATTATGTATTGACATTTTTTTTTGTGTGTGCTTTTTTATGGAATCCTGAAGTGAGTTGTAAGTAGGACATAGGAAAAAGACACAGGCCCACCATTGCTAACTGTGTTCATGTAATGGGTAGATGAAAATTGTCATTTTCAGCATGGAGTTGGTTGTGCATTTTGTTGTTCATTTTAAATTAAGTCCAATAATTAACTTGTTACAGTTCTAGGACACTGCATTTAAAAAGTAAATATATCTAATTACTACAATTTAACTAAAAGCTTGCAAATGTCTTATAGTAGAAGAAAGCTTCAACTACTCTTTTTGGAGGAGAGTTTTTCATGAAGTCCATCAAACTAATAGGCAGAATGAGAGGCATCTTCACCCCATAGGGTCAATAATCCCAAACCTGCCAAAGTAGTACTTTAGTAATAGCCCATCCCCAGGGTTCATACCAGCATGTCAAAGGACACCCCAGAATCCAATGACTATAACCCATTGTCCAGGGATACAGGCAGAAAGACTTGTCATTCCTGCTGAAGTCAAACTGAATCTAGTCTTAACCCTGAGAACATAATTTCCAAGTTTCCTAAACCCAACCCAAAGGTACAGGTGAATGGAAAGTAATTCTAGTATGAAATGGCTTTACTGTTCTTTCTTTAATGGTAATAAACAAAAGTATGGGTTTAAGCACTTTTCCATATCCTGAGTGCTCACTTCACAAAAGAATAAGCAGATAATAGGCCCACTGTCCCAATACTTGTACAATTGCCATACTTGTAATTAAGAGGAAAATGGAACATGGGGAACCTTCAAAAAGACTGGAAACGCACTTTTATTGCATTACATTCTATTTGTTGAACATTGGTGATTTTCTCCAGCAGTGTAGTTTTTTTTTTTTTATTAAGAAAATGAACTCTGAATCTAGACAGACTTCCAGATCTTGGATTTACCTTCAGTTAGGCATTAATTCTCTGTGATCCATTTCGCTGTCTAGGTATGTTCTACATATAACAAAAAAGATGTATTAAAGGGATAAACAGCTTGTAGGAGCTATCTGAGATCAGGATCCATGTGTTATGATTATTATATTGCTATATGTTATTGATATATATGCACTGATTTCCTATTTGCATCTTTAAAACTAATAAATAATATAAAATTATTTTGTAATTAAGTTAATATATTAAATTCAGTGCAGTCTAAAAAATAAATTAACTGGGCCAATGTAATTTGTGAACTTTACTTAGTTTGGTAAATTGCATTAAATACTGATGGAAACAGTAATTTGTGATCTATTAGGGAAAAAAAAAGAGAATTCTAGCAGATAAACCACTTGAGCAGAATCAATTGAATTCTACTCATTTGCTACCATTAGAATTTTTTTCCTAAGGGGGAGAAAAAAAAAAGTAAAGTAGTAAATAGGAGTACTTGAGACTTGATAGCCAAATATATTACCCTTATTTATCTGAATAAATACATTTAAACCAAAGCTTTTAATTTTTTCCAAAGCTCTTCAATCATGGTAGTTTATTCTCAGGTAAAGCACCAACCTGAGGAAAATGTATAATAGAAATTATATAGCAATACTTGTAATTAAGAGGAAAATGGAACATGGGGAGCCTCAATGATTTATGTGTGAGCAGGGTTGTAGTGATACTTACACCCAACCAATCAATAGTAGGAGACACAATTTTACCCTCATTAAATAAGAATAATAAGTATTATTTACTTTTCTAAGTTGGAAAAGCACAAGATTCATGAAGCTCATTTCTAAATGAAATCAAGATCCTCACAAAGAGGAGGAAAAGAATGAATATTAAATAGACAATTAACAAAGAAAATATGATGAGGAGGTAGTCAAGTTCAGATTTCTTTAAAAGAATCACTGAAATGGAATATGGTGATTTTATGAAGTATCTAGTATTAGATATAGTTATTTTTCTCATCAAACATATAATCATGATATAGCCTGACTTTTTAAAACAATGAATTTGCCTTCCGCTTTTTCTTTAGTGAATGTTAGGTAATTGATTTTTAAGTTCTTTTTTTATTTTATTTATTTATTTTAAAAATTTATTTATTTGTGCATACAGAACTGGGGTATAGGCCAGAGGCTCAGTGGCGGTGAAAATCTTCACCAGAGACAGAGTGGGGAACAGAACAGGCAGATCTACGAAGTACACTGCTGAAGGTAGTAGCGGGCAGGTCAGGAGAGGTCTGCCACACCATGTGGTCACCTCCGGGGCAGGTGGGAATTGAACTCATGCGGAAATGGCTTTAGATTCTCAGTGCTATGCTTTAACCTGCTGTGCCACCAGGGAGGGCCTTAAGTTCTTTTTTTAATCAAAACAATTTTCTTATCACATCACACAGTGAATATTAAACTCCTTTCTAATACTTATCAGCTCTTAGTTTACAGTCTTTTTGTTACAGGGTAGCCCAGAGTGGATTGGACCTCCTGTCTGTGGGGCCTCACCCGCGCTCACAATTCAGTTATACTGCAGGGACACACAAAAGGGTCAATAACGGGTTTATTTACAAAAGGGGAAAGGAATAGGAAACAACCCAGGGAAAGAGAGCGGGATACAAAGTAACTGGAATACCTTACCGGCTTGGCTGACTGAACACACTGTGTCACTGGGTCCAGAGAGCTGTTTCCCAAGCAAGAGAGGGAGAGATGCAATTGCACCCTATTTATCCCCAAAATGTCCCAGAATTCCTGCTAGCTCCACCCTTGGGTCCTCGCAGTTCTCTCCCTGGTACGGCTGGAAATTGTAATTTCTAATCACTGGAGTAGGATGTAGGGTCCAGAAAGCTGGAGTAGGGGGTAGAGTCCATAAGACTCTGCAGAGTTCCTTTAGGACATCCTTCCCCTTAACAATTTATATTAGAAATTTATTTATGTTATTTTCAAAGATTATTTTTGAACTTTTAGTATTTTTAACAAAGGATTCATTTTAGATATAAGTAATTATTTAAAACATTAAACAAAAAGGATAAATGGGGGTGCATTACGTCAGTAAAACGGTGCAATAAGCAGCACTATATGCTCATGCTCCACAGAAACAAAGAAAAACAGTAAATACTATCCTAATAGATTTTTTTCAGGACTCTGGAAATTCATCAAATTATCTACAACTAAGCAAATGCTGAATCAAGAAAAAAGCAACTCTAGGTAGTACCAAAGTGTTGTGGCCTTTTATTCATCCACTACTGGATGTAGCAAATGTCTTGGCTTTGAGCTATGGAAACCTATGTTCCCATTTTGGGATCCAACTCCCTTGTTTCAGAGGAAACAGAGCAACCCTTCTTCAAAAATGATTGAGTATGTAGGTTTTCACTTGTGTTAGGGTTACCTGAAGGTTGATGCAAGCATTCATCTATGTTTTGCCTTCCCCTGAAACTCAACCTGAAAAAGTAGCAAGCTAGCTTGAACACACTGCATGACTGAATTAACAATCTTCAAATGCCTATGGCAAGAGTGCAGTTGAAATTTACAATAGACTGCATAAATCTTGGTAGTAAAAACAAGGGAGAGTTTCTTTGGGAAATTTGGATATTAAAAAAAAAAAAATCAAGTGTACAGGGGATTTAGAAAACCATGCGCATGCCCAGGGCAAAATGTACACAATAAAGACAGCAGAATACCCTCAGATTTTATCATGGGCTGAACTTTAAGTTCAGGCAAATTTAAATGTAGCAGGAGAGTTCCAGAACAGAGTCAATTTGCAATTACTCTGAGCAGTGTTTTGTTGTTATCTTTTGTTTGCTTATGCTCTTTTGTCAACGTGTTTCTGTTTTTCAGCTTCCAGCATTCAAAAATGCTAGTTGAACACAAACTAAGGAACAGAGACTTCAGTAACACCTTTGAAAGGAACACAGTCTTTGCAAAGATAATTTAGGGAAGTGCATAAACAAATGAACTACTTCAGTCTTCAACAACAACAAAAGTGTAAGCAATTTTGGAGCGTGGTGGTGCGTGCGGAGCCTGTTTCTCTGTTTATATAATTTAAATGACCAGTGTCCAACCAATAAATATCACAAAGCATAAAAAGAAACAGGAAAGTAATACTCTGAAAGGAACAAAATAAATGGACAGGAATGATACTGTGGAAGTCTAAATGTTGGACTTACTTGACAAACACCTTAAAATAACTGCTTAAATTTTCTCAAAAACATAACTAAAGAAAATCAAAATTCATGTATTAAGGATATAAGAATATCATTAAGATATTCCCTGGTGGCACAGTGGGTTAAAGCACAGCACTAAGAAACTAAAGCCACTTCAGCATGAGTTCGATTCCCACCTGCCCCGGAGGTGACCACATGGTGCGGCAGACCTCTGCTGACCTGCCCACTGCTCCCCTCAGCAGTGTACTTCATCAGTTGGCCTCTACTTCATCTGCTCTGCCTCTGGTGACTCCTGCACCTCTGGCCTATACTGCAGTCCTATATGCAGAAATAAATAAATCTTAAAAAAAAAGGAAAAGTTACCAAAAGACAAACAAAATTTGAGTCCTTAAA